GGCTAACCCTCTCAATTTCACGAACCCATCCGCGCATCCCTATTTTCTAAAAATATCCCGGATGTGTTTTTATCTATCTTTCCTCGATATCCCACAAATCCTTGAATTTTCACTTGGAAACCTATAAAGCCTCATTTATCAATCTTGATTCACCAAACGCCCGTATCGTTCTTTATTCTGTAAGGCATTTTAATTCTCGATATTTCTTAACGCAAATATCCCCTTTTTTCTCTTAATCCCCTGATATCGCTCAAAATTACTATGTTTTTAATCATTCACACCTCTCAAAAGAGCCAATAATATTCATTCAGTTGACGTTCTGCTACATCCTATTTTTTGCCTCTTTTCAAATCATAGATATCTTTCTTAATCAACAAAATTCCTTTATTTCCTTTTTGTTTAATTGATAATCCTCTTAATCTCTATAAAATCCTTCTAACCAACATTATCCCACTATAAAAACTTAATTCTATCAAATCCGTGATATCCCTATTACCTTTAATCTCTTCATGCTAATTCCTTTATCCTTTTATAACTCTTAAACGCCTAATCGTTTAAATCAATTTTAATCTTCATAATCCTTATATTTATCAGTCTTATCTCCTAGTTTCGCTTTTCTCTCTATATGATTATTTAGTCAAATCATTATTTAGTCAAGTCTCAAACCCTTCTGTTACAGCTTTAACCTCGCTATACCCCCGTTTTTCTCTTAATCACTTCAAGATCCCGATCAAGGCTTATCGAAATAAAAATATTTTTTTTTCGAATCGAAACGAAATAAAAAATTCCTATTTCGTTTCGGAGCGAAACGAAACGAAATAAACGATATTGCTTTTAATTACCCAAATCCCACTATGTCTCTTTAATCTCTTCAAATTTGCCTCTCTCGAAAACCCCCAAAATTCAATTATGCAACATAACTTGTCTCTCTACAATTTACCCATTAATCCCTTTAAATTGACATATATCAATTTGGAGTAAAACTCCAGCATATTCGAATCTTTGTTTCAAAATTTTTTAATACTTTTAGATCACAAATATAAAGATTTGGGACTATGGTAGGTTGGGCGGCGGAAGGCTGCTCTACTCTATCAAAACCCGGAAAATCTTTCTTCCTTTTTGGCGCTGCATGCGTTAATTTTTTTGATTTTGGAGCTCAAAAGGCCAAATTTCTTCCTTTTTCTGCGCCGCAGGCGAAATTTTTTCAATTTTAGGCTGCTCATAAGACAGAACTCACTAAAAATTATGATTAGAAAAAGGGGTGCATTTTCTAACTTTTTTTTGATTCGTTTCGTCCGGAATTTTGTCTATTTTGTTTCGAAACAAAACGAAATGAAAAAAAGGGCACGAAAGAGCGTAACGAAATGTAATTTCGAACAGCCCTTATCCCGATATTAATTTTTAATCTCTCAAATATCCTATTTTACTCGAATACCAAACCGCAATTAAATTTCAAATTTGCACTATTTATTAGCCACCCTAATTACCGACTTTATGATCCTCAATCACTGATATCCCTTACTACCAACAGATCCTCTTATACACTCAAAATTTCCCATCCTTTGTGATTTTCTTGAATTCAACAAATCCTCCATTATTTTAGTCCAACAAATCACTGATATCACTCTTAATCACTAAATTCCTTGTTATTCTTAATTCTCACAAATTCTATTTTTTCTAACATATTCAGCCTTTTCCTTTATTAATCCGAAGATTCCTGTTTACAAAATTTCTTCTGTTTAAATTTTTTGTTAACTGATAAAACTTTTTCAACAAATAAATTAACTACATATAATTTTTAAAGGAAAAAAGTAAAGTTTTCTTAAGCACATTTCCGCAGTTTAAATAATTATTCTCTTAGCTCGCGGTGGCTTCAATCTTAATAATTTACTAAAACTAAAAGCTTTTGTGTTATTGGTTGTTTTTTCAAATACCAGAACTAAAAAAGTTTATATCGAACTATGACGATCCTTACCGCTTACTCATTGTCGAACCTTGATCTTAAACCATTGCAGTTTTAACCCACATGTTTTACCTGCTTTTTTAACACTTTAGTCTAATCTGATTAGTACATATCTTATTTGCTTTTTCAAGTCTTTAGCTTTCACAAAATATCAGTTCCTAGTTCACAAAATTCGAATTTGTTTACCCTAGATTTATTCAAATCCGAAATTACTTTATTAAAACCTAAACCCAACTTGTAGAGCTTTTTGTTTTTTTTTGTACAATTGTATCCTTAGCTGTTTGTACTTTTAAGCTGATTAGGTCTTTTGTACCTTTTTGGCTAGTAAGGCCTTTTGAAAATTTGGACTGTTTAGGCCTTTTGAAAATTTGGAATGTTTCGACCTTTTGAAAATTTGGACTGTTTCGACCTTTTGAAAATTTGAACTGTTTAGGCCTTTTGAAAATTTGGTCTGTTTCGACCTTTTGAAAATTTGAACTGTTTAGGCCTTTTGTACACCGTTGTTTGTGTACCATTTTGTCTGGGCACTCGTTGTTTACATTTAAAGTAAGGTTGATGCGAGGTAAATAAGGTAATCAGAATTAGAGAAGTATTTTTTTGTTTTTTTTTTCTTGGCCAAAATAGAGATAAATTTTTTGTTTACTCTTATCCTTAATTATTCTCATATTTTCGTTTCAAAAATTATTGCCTTTTCTTCTTTAAAAAAGTCCTTTGAAAAATCGATAAACAAAGTCTCCCAAAACTCATTTAATATATAAAGGGATAATTTTTCCATTAATAACATCTTTTACCACATTCTCATATGATTCAAATTTGCAATAAATTCCCAATGCTGCCATTCTAATCGCTAAAGGGTTTCTAGATCCTTCCAAATATTTTTTCTCAATTTCCGACAATTTTTCATTTTTCTCTTTTAAAAGGAGTAACTCGAAATTATTTGTTGCCATTTCTTTAAAATCATTGTCGTCCAATTCTTCCAATCCATTAACTTCTTCTAAATCCCTCTTCTTCCTTCTTCCACTACAACCTCTTTTTCTTCTTCCTCCGACTTCTTTTCCGTTTTCCCATCCACAACCCCACAATCCTCTTCTTACTCTTCCACCTGAAAATAAGATATTGACGGGTCTTGAAAAAGCATAGGATATTAGGAACCGATATCCAAACTGAAACTTTTCTTATATCGCCCGGAGATCGTTCTCGTTATATGCTAGTATAATCTCTCTCTCTTTATAATTATATCGGTGGAGAGGTTAAAAATTACTCGCTCCTTACGATGGAAGGTACTGCATAACTCTTGTATTTGAGAGCAAAATTTAGTGTGAAAATTTATTTTGTTCATTGTTAGTTTTGTGTTTTATTTTAATTTCTCCTTCATTTCGTGTTTCTTAAAACAAATACCTTAAAATTGGCCAACCCTTACCTGGAAAGGCTGCCTGTCGAAAATCTTTACATAACTCTTTTGGAACTGTGTAATATCTATTTTCCTCAAAGAATTTATAAATTAATTTAATCAACTCCAAACAATGTTCTTTGTGGAATTGAAGGTGTTCTTCAAAGTTTGGATTGTCTTCTTGTAATATATCGATACAATGAATTCCGTGAGTGATTAAAACAGAAATTGAAGTAAAATCTTCTCTCGGCCAAGGAAGGCCGTCTTTGCAGGATGAAAAAATTAAATTTTTATTTGGATTACACGAAGAAGGAGATTCTTTATTTAAAATAGTTAAAAGTGATTGGATTTGTAAAAATATTAGAGTAAAAATTAATAAAATAAATATTTCGTTTTTAGATGACATTTGTAAAATTTGTGAGAATTTTGTGTTTAAAAAAACTTTTTTTATATCGGTAAATAAATTTGATAAAAAAATAAATCATTTTTGTGTAATAGAACGATATTAATTGTTTATTGATCTGTTCAAAATTTATTAATGGGCAAATCAGCAAAGTGTCTATTTATGTTTAAAAATATTATCTAAAAAATAATACTATTTTGTGAAGGACTAATTGATCAAAAACTAAAACAATTTTATATTTTGTGAATTATAGCTTTTGTATTATTATTAAATTGCTTACAAAACCGACAAATATTTTGATAGAATTTGCTAGAACTCTAATTAATGAAAATTTAGTCTATTACTATACAAATTAATTTTATTTCTCGAGCGATATACTAAAGCTGTTTCCAGAATAACGATGATAATTGTTATCCTAATAGTGAAGTAGCATCCCAAAATTTAACTTGAATAATCTTGCATGCTACTTCACTATTTGCGATAACAATTATCATCGTATTCTTTAAACAGCTTTTGTATAAATATTTTGTTTGAAATAAAATTTAAAAAAATGTTAAGAATTTTTAAAAATATGATTTTTTATTAGGTTTTTTGATACAATTTTTTAAACATAAAACTAGTTTATCACGTTTTTGATAAAGTTTTTGTTTTAAAAATAGTTTAAAATTTTGATTAAACTTTTGTAGTGTATGTACATATCAGGGTTGCCGCCCGAAACCCGATACCCGAAACCCGGCCTTTTTTGTACCCGAAACCCGATACCCGAAATGAAAATTTTCCAACCCGAAACCCGTACCCGATATTTTTGCCAACCCGAAACCCGAAATGAAAACGCTCCAACCCGATACCCGAAACCCGTACCCGAAGATTTTTTGTACCCGCGGCAACCCTGGTACATATGTATGTTAAGGAATTAAATAAGAATATATAATTTTCTATAAAATTTTAAATTAAGATACTATAATAATTTAAATTAATTTCCATCATTTTCTGTGTTCTTTTGAGGATGACAATTAATATGAGTGACAAGAATCCATTCACCTTCGGGGTTCTGCCAGTACCATTTGGCTTCATCTGATCCTTTCAATTTCTAAATGTAACTTTTAATTAAATCACATAAAATGAAAGGACCTTGCAACGGAAAAATGCTCCATAACCACAATATGTAATCCGATCCTTCCCTGTGTAACAATCCCAAAATTTAACTTGAATATGACCGTTTATCTTAAATAGTTGTCAATCAATTACTTGAAACTTCTCAATAAACATACAGTCAATTTTTTACCATCACCAGTACAAAGAATATCAAGTTTTGGCCCGTTAAGTGGTCTATCGACAGTCCTTCTTAATTCGGAATCTGGGTGACCTTTTTCGTCGATAATTGATTGATTGACGTTTTTACATGTATTTGCCGGAGTTGAAGGTGTAAGTTCTATAGAATTAACAAATACACCTCTATGAGCAAATATTATCGAATATAACCTGCTAGATAACCAATAATTGCCTTTCCTTTACCATGCTTTGTTATAATAACTTCTGTGTCCGACTCAGCTTTTATAACAATAGGCATCAGACGACTACCACAACAAAGTTGGGCTCCTAAATATTTATTGAATAATTTAAATCATCTTTGCTTGATTGCTGTTGTAAACCGTTCCCCTCACTTTCTAGGATTATTTATCACTGTAATTACAAAGGCTATTTAGATCTTTTAGTTCCTAAGGCTTTCCATATCTTTGGATTTCCAGATCTGACGTCTGAACCTACGACTATCTTATCTTTTTCAGATTCAGATATCAAGATCCGTCAGCCTTAATAGGAGGAATATCGTTATAATTTACCAGCTACAGATTTATCTTTATTGTATTGTATTTCAATGTAATTTTCTCTACAAGGATAACTGCAATTAACTCCATCCAATTTCTCTACACTTACAATTGTGTATTTTGATGGAATTCTATCATTACTTTTAATGTTACGCTGAATATTAAATAATTTTTTATAGCTTGTAAGACAGGTTCATACTTTTACAATCCAAAAATTATCTCCTTGATCATCTACTTTAAAATATTGCTTTGTAGTCGTGGGTGTTAATATTATTGCATTGCTATTTTTATCTAAGAATATAAAAATGGGAGAATTGAGTGTTGTTTGTGCCTATCCAGGTCTCGCCCCGATAAAATTTAATTTGGGTAATTCCAATTTAATAAATATTATATAGCGGTTAATATAGTTCCCTTGTGGCTGAAAAATTTAATATAACAATGAGCGATATGTAAGATTTGGGGTATCCTTTAGAAGCCTCCCCCTCCGTCTCATCCTGACTGTGTCAATATCACAAATACTATCCAGGTCTCGCCCCGATAAAATTTAATTTAAATTCTATCAATTACATTTATACGATGTGCATCTATTCCCACCATATCCGGGAGGACAACGACATTTGCATTTATCAATTGGGTCTGGATAACCGCCATTTTTGCATTCTCCATTATTTAATTTATAATCCTCTGGATTACATTTAGCATAATTAGCAATATGTGGATTGTTACTTGTGCCTATATAAAAATAATAGTTACATATTATTAAATAATTACTAAAAAAATTTTCCAATGATTTTTAATCTATTGATTCATAACTGAAACAAGTTAAAAATGATTTATGTTAAATATCCGTCAAGGTTTAACAATATAAATAACATGTATCATCTAAGTTGGATCATACTAGACCAGCTCTAGATAATGTTATCTAGGGCATAAATATATTTTGTCTATAATCATGCAAGTGTTACTATAATAGTAATGAGTCACGTATATGGAGCTAACTGTATTATTTTCGTTAAATTTTAAATTTCATTTGATTAAAATAAATATAATCTTTATATTCTTACAATATACTAGATTTAAAATTTTTGCATCTTTAAAGGAAATGTCAATTCGTTGTCCCATTGTCGACTGATAATCTCGCATTAAAGAAATAATTTCGAATCTTAAATTGAATATTATACTGTACTATTAATTAAATTCCATCTAATTAAAGGTTATCGAACAAAAAACACAAAATGATTTTCTAAACAGCCGGGACGCGGCTCTCTTAATAATAAAAGTACGAAAAACATACATGCCAGATTTATAATCTTCTGGAGGATAATGCATAACCGAACCATAATCATATCGTTGATTAAACTGTCTTGAATTGTTCAAACGGTGGTATTGTTTTTTCATCTAAAAATTTTGAATATGAATTGATTAAATACCGTATTTTCACACTCCAGTTGAATGCTCCTGTAATTGAATGCCCACTTGGAGGATGATTAAATTATTAGATGCCAGGGCTTTCAATTAGAGGAAATACAGTAAATTAATAACATAAACGCATTAAAACTCCGAAAAATTAAAAACAGCGTTAAGTAAAATTCTAATAAAAATTAATCGTGGACCGCCAATTGTGATCCTAAATTGAACTAATCTTGAGAACTAAATTAATTATTTTTTAAACTAGTTGTTTAAAAACAATTCAGATCTAATAATAATATGAAAATACATCGTCGCTGATGTCTTTAAAGTTAATCCAAACAGATCCATTGCGGTCAGCACGAATCATCTCATGATGAAAACCCAAAGCATGCATAACCTCATGTGCAACTATTCCAACCTAAAAATATTTTTTATTGTTTTTGTCCATATTTTATCTTCAAATTTTAAAAAGTTTTTTAAATTTTTTAAATAGACAGGTCGCCTGGTCGGTCGCCTTCTGGCCGATCATCATCAGAGATGCGCGCATTAAAAATTTCCGCAAACGCAATCCGCAAGCCGGAATTTTAATTTTAAAATCCGCAAACGCAATCCGCAAGTCAAAAAACGAACCATTTATGGTGCGTGAAATACGAAAAAATCCTAAAAATCTGCAATTGCAATTCAAAAAAAAAACATCCACAATACACAATCCGCAATTGCATGCATCCCTGGTCACCATACTTTTACAAACCCTTGCAATTTTATGCTTATAATTTAACTCACTTTATTACAACCATATAAAGACAATTGAATATAATGTTCGAAGCCAGAATAACCATTAGCTCCAACATTAGTTCCACATCCCCGCCCAAAAGGTGAGAATATGATATGTTTCACTTCATTATTTTCCAAAGAATTATTAAGCTTTTCAAATTTAATACATGTTTTCTGACTAAATTTAAAAATTTAGAAATAATACCATTTCCTAAATTTAAAAATTAGGAAAAAGAAAAATTAGGAAAAATGGCCCGGCGCCAAAACGACCCTAACCGATTTATAGGCCTATTTTGAAGAATAGATTTTATTGTAAAAATGAATTATTTAACCTTATAAGATCAAGACCTTCCTTGATCATATCAATCCACACAGCTGCAATTTTTACAATTAATATAAAAAATTTTATGTTAGGGATCAGTTGTTCGGGACCAGTTACTTGCTTTTAACAAAACTAAAAAACTAACAACATACGGCTAATCGTGATTTGAGGAACATTGAAACCCCAATATGAAAAGTATATCCGACATTCATTTAATGATAACTACAGACCGGTTTAAAAACAAAAAACGGATCTGCTATAGATAGAGAGTTGTAAAAAACTCAAAAAATTTCATCCTGCTTCTTTAATCTCCTAAATTATTAGCCAGATGTATTTATCTTTTTCCTCACACAACGAAATTTAATACTTTAGTAAATGTGAATTTTAAAATCCACATATACATAAAATAAGTAATCTTTATATTTGTTATATATTTTATTAGCCTACGAAATATTTCCGCTGTAAAATCATAATAAACAGGCATTTCCCATAAAAGAATTGATAAAGGAGCATTTTGTAATTGCCTTTTACTTCTCAACGGTTTTTTGCAACCTATTTAGTATATGTTAATATTATTATTATATTATATGTATATTATATACAAAACTAGTTAATATTTTAAAATTCATTTACATTTTTTGTAATATTCTATATCATTCAAAAGTTGCTCCAAAGTAACAAAAACATCTCCATAGGCAATCGGAGTTGTGGCGTTTTCACATCCGGAAACATATCCATCCTCATCACGTTTAACAGGTTTAGAAGAATCTTTGACACTTCTTTTATTTCTACTTTCTGGGTCTGGACGTAACCAAGAATCAATCTGTAGTATATTATATTAATTTTTATCAACTTATATAAGATTAATTCCTAAAATCCCTGTAATCAAAATATTCCTAGATATGTAGCAGGAGAGGCGTTAGTCTCGTATCCCGTGTCTCGTATCTTTTGAAATCTCGTGACTTTTAGAGGTCTCGTATCTCATTTTATCTCGTTCACATATTTTTTGAGAATCTCATATCGCGTATTTTGTGGGACAACGCCACCACTGATATGTAGGTTTTGTATCTAAATTTTTATCGTTTTAACTTTTGTTTCAATTCAAGATATTTTTGCCGTCCGGAATTTAAAAATTTTTAACAATTACACTCCACGGAGGACGTTCCTCATAATCACATGGACATTTAGCCATTATTTCATTTAATTCATCTAATGCTTTTTTCATTTTTGTGTATTCCTCCAAACCCCATAAATCGCAATGATTCCATGGCCGCTTATACTTAATATAATAATTAAAAAGTCTATTAAAAAAATTTCTTTAAAATTAAACCAACACAATCATATCGTTTTGACATTTCTTCATTATTTAAAGTGAGGTTGAGGGCAAAATTGCAACCTTTTTGCGTAACTAAGTAAATGTTAAAATTGTTTATATCCATATATTCTCCATTAAGATGCATATCAGGACCAACAACACCAAGCGCTCCGTCCTTCAAAATTATTATTTTAACAAAAAAGTTTATTTCAAAGAAATGATTATTGAATTTATTTGACTAATATGAAGATTTTAATCTACGATATTTACTCTCACAAACAGCTTTAAGTAATCCTTATTGTGGATCTAGCAAATGTACTAATTATATAATAGTCACAATAATTTGTTGGAAAGAAAAGATGTGTAGTTACCTCCTTTGCGATTTCCTCTAAACTTTTTTGTTCAAAATTTGCGAGAATATTTCGGCCATAATTATAAACTATATTATTCATTTCATCTGTTATTATTGCAAATTTATTGTCTTTATTTCCAATTGAAATAGACAAAAGTAGAGGAAATATTTCATTTCTATTTATTAACCACAGATGCCCATCATTTGAATATTTTCCACTTGCATTAAATTCTTTGCCAAATTTAATCCTTTTTTATAATAAAAACAATTTTTGTGTATCAAAAATTAATTACGTAAATTCTGAATAAGAAAATCCAATAATCACATCAACTCGAAAAGTTATTTGGTAACGTTCTTCTTTCTCAATTATTTGGAATCCAACTCGAGTAGCAAACACTCGGAATTCAATTCCATGCATACCAGAACCTTTATTTGAGCAGACTTTCGCATAATCACTTTTCGGGTTATTCTTAATCTTAAGGAGTCTATTAGTCTTTATTACATAGAAAACTGAAACGATAAAAAATAATTTATAAGCATTATGAAGCCTGAAGATTTTCGCAAAGTTTAT